CTTATGGGGACTGTTGCTGTCTCCCATTCAGTTAGACAAAAATTACAATTGAATAACCATCAAAAAACTAAAAGCACATGGACAAAGAATACACCATGTAATCACACAAGAACAGTAACCAAAAAAGGAAAAAAGGGAGAAAAGAAGAAAAAAACAAGAAAACCTGCAATATCTGGGGATAAGACACTAAGAGAAAAAGGTAGAGGAGAATAATGAAGAAAAAAAAAAAAATAAACCAGAAAAACAAAGAATGGGTTTAACAATGAAAAAAAAGGGAGAAAAAAGAATTTAAATTAAAAAAAAAAAATTTAACCAGGAATGGAAATGAAAAAAAAAAAAAAGTAAACTAGGACCTGGGAGGGGAAGAGTAGTAAAAAGGGCAAAAGTATTAATAATAATAGTAGTTTTAAAACAGACAAATCCACGTAAACTAAACACTAGAAAAAAGAAAGAGAAAAAGAAAAATATTGGCAGAAGACAGGGCAGTGCACCCGGGCTCCGTCTGAGCGCACAGATTGGGATGGAGTTCCTGCAGGCCCAGAAGGTGGCTTGGAGTTGAGAGTGGCCACACCTCTGTTCACCAAGCGAGTGTGGGGTATAAGAGTAACAAGAGAAACATCACACCTTTTCAGTCGTGAAGGTCTGGAGTGTCCTTGGGGTTACTGGCAAGCAGAACCTCTTCTTAAGCCCCTGGAATCTCGGTGAGTGCTGTCTCTTTAAATATCCAAAATGGTTAAGCTGCTTGTAAACATTCAAAATGGCAGCACCCTCCAGACAGGCCAAAGTCCACAGCTCAACCCATCTTCCTCTTCACCACTGCTTCCCCTTTTATTCCACAGCCAGCAGAGCAGTCCTCTGTGCAGTCCCTGGCTAGCAGGGCTGATTTTTAGGCTAATTCTTAGGTCCTACCACCACTGGGGAATCTCCAAGCTGTCTGTGCCATCAGGATTGCTCAGGATTGCTGCCAGACCACAGGTCTGTATGTTTCCTTTTTTGTTATTTTCATGCAAATTCTTGTGTTAGTTTGGGTTTACTTCACTTCTATATCCTTCCTTTCAAGGCTAAGGGGTGCAGGATTATCTTCTCTGTCTGTGTTAATTGGTTTCCCTTTTCTTTGTTGAGGAGGGTCTGTACAGACTTTCTGCCTAGTCCATCTTTATTTTTTTGTTTGTCTTATACCTTCTTTGTTTCTCATTTTCCCTAATATTATCAACTTTTGTGTTTTGTTGATTTTTTGTAGTTTTTTAGTGAACTGTTTTATTATCTTCCTTCCTTTTGTGTGTAATGTTTAATATATTTCCTTTGTATTTACCATGAGGATTACATTTAAGATCTTACAATTATAACAACTTGGTTTAAATTGATACCAACTTCCACAATGTACAAAAACTCTATAACTGTACCTTTCTTCTCTCCCATTTATGCTGTTGTTATCACCTCTTACATCTTTATACATCATGAGCCCTGTAACATAAAATTATACTTTATGCATTTTTCATTATACAGCATGAAGGACATAATAACTAGAAACATCAAGCAAAAATACCTTAAAACTTGCCATTATACTTGCCTACAATTACCTTTTATGGAGATTTTTCTATGTTCAGTTCCAAGTTACTGTCTCTTGTTCTTTCTTTCTCATCTGAAAGACTGCCTTTACCACCTCTTGGAGGGCAGGTCCAGTGGTTACAAACTCTTTCAATGTTTATTTACCTGGGAATTCCTTATTTTGCCTTCATTCTTGACAGTTTTGCCAGATATGACATTCTTGGTTGACAGTACTTTTCTTTCATTGCTTTAAATATGTCATCCCATTGTTTTTTTGTCCTCCAGGATTTCTGAAGAGAAATTGGCACTTAATCTTATTTGGGATCCTTTGTGTGTGACTCTTCTCTCTTGCTAATTTCAAGATTTTCTATAATTATTTTTTGAAGGTTTCATTATAATGTGTCTCAGTGTGGATCGCTTTAGGTTTACCCTACTTTGAGTTAGTTCACTGAACTTCTTAGATATATAGATTCATGTACTTTGTTGTATTTGGAAAGCTTTCTGCCATTTTCCAATTATTTTGTCCCTTTCTCTCATCTTCTTCTGGGACTCTTATGATGCATATGTCAGCTCATTTGTTGATGGCCCACATTTCCATTAGGTTATGCTCAGCTATCTTGGGCCATCTATGTTGTTTCTTCGCAGTCTCCTTAATTTCTATTACTTTATCCTCTACCTTGTACATTCTTTTCCAGCTCAAGTCTATTGTTAAATTCTTTTAATAAGTTTTTTAAATTTCAATTATTATATCTTTCACCCACAATTTTTCTTTTTCTTTTTTTTTTTTAGTGTCTATCATTTTACGTATATTCTCCTTTTATTCATACATCATTCATCTGATTTTCTTTAATTCTTTGTGTTTTCCTTTAGTTCTTTGATCTTGTTAATATTATTTTGTTATATTCTTCCAATCTGTTCATTATTTTGGTTCCCATAAATGTAATTTCTCTCCTTTCATCTTATTCACTTAAATGGACCATAATTTTCAGTTTATTTGTATACCTTTTAATTTTTTGTTGAAGCTGAGACATTAGAATCTTACTAGATGTTACTTTTTTCAATGGTTAAGATTATAATTCTCCTAAAACAGTAAATGTTCTCTCTAATATGATGTAAGGTACTGTGCTACGTATAACAAACATTCTACCTTAATAGGGAAAATAGTATCATCATGTAGACACTAAAATGTGTGTGAGTATTTATGTATTCATTAATTGAAATATTTTGTTCTTACTTGGAATTGGATTAAATAATTGGTCTTTTTCTTCTCTGTGCTCCTCCCTTGTTGATGTTTCATTTAAAGCTGTTAAAACAATAAATTGTTATGGTAAACAAATATCATTTATGAAAATTATGGTGTATTTGTGATGTCTGCATATATATGACACACATAATTATATATATGTGTATCTATATGCAATATAAACATTACATTTATATACAAGCATGAATATATGTAAAATTTACATTACTTTTATTCATGTATATATTATGATATGTTCATTGCCTTTATAAATGTGTACCCTTGTGTTTATGTGTATACTGTTCCAAACACAATGAGGGACAATATTAGGCAAGAGGTGTATTTAATGTTTTTAATTATAAATAGAGTGGCTAAATTGCAACAATTGTAAGAGAATAAAATTTTTTTTGTAGGGAAAAATAAGAAAATGTGTGGCATTTTATTAACTCTCTGTTTGTTTTGCATTTTCTAATGCAACTACAAAGTGTTGACTTACTGATTCTTAGTATTAGAACTAAAGTGATCTTGGCTTTCTTACATAAGATTTTAGAAAATCAAGACATTTCTCCAGCTACATAACTGTATGAATTTACCTTTCTCTAAATTTGTCCAAAATTCAGGCTCATTTTGACCCCTGTTTGGTTCTGTTTAAAATAAAATAGAACATGAAGACACAATAAGGTAATTTGCTTTACAATTTGTGATAGAATATTCATTCATTTCTTGTTAATTTACTTATTTAGTAATTACAACTTGAGCTCCTATCATGTGCTTGACACTAAAGTTATAGAAATGAACAAGGCATAAGCCTTATGTGCAAGAAACCCATCCTTTGAGAGATAGAACAGAATCATTATTGATTATGTTGCAAGATAATAATGGCTTTAATATAAATGCACAGCAGGTATGCACAGAGGGCCTTAACTCAACTTGTAGAGTCCAGAAACCCTTCAAAAGGCTGCTGATTCCCCAGTCTAAGGCTTAGAAGACTAGCATTTGTTAGCCAGACAAACAAGACAAGGAAAATGTTCAACTCAGAGTCATGAGCAGGCTCTGTAAGCTCTTGGAACTCCAAATAATCTGAGGTGAAAATGTTAATGGGGAATGTGACCCAGAGTTGAGACTGGAAAGTTGTTCAATAGCCAGATCATTTAAGACTTGAGTGCCTGGCTAGGAAGGCTAAACATGACCTACATCCTAGTGGTAAGTTACTGAAGATATTTAAGCAAAGGGATACAAGCATGATTAGATTTCCATTCTTAAACCTATCAAAAAAGTGGATAAAGTTTTAATTTTTTTTGGTAGTGTTAAAGATGCAAACTAATCCACAGTGCTCATATTAGTAATGCATTTTGATTGCAAGAACTAGAGAAAATATGATTTTTCATATTGGCCTGTAAGTTTCCTTTGTCTTTAAGTAGACAAGACCCTAGAGAAGAACTATCCTGGATTGTTTTGGTTTCACAAATATTTTATAAGGAATGGCATTGTTGACAAGAATGGTGATTTTGATTTTGCAATCTCCTCCCTTTCAAGCACTCTCCCAAATAATCTTAGGAAACACTAATAATTGATTCTAAGTAGAGATAAGTTTATTCTTCAAGCAGGGAGAAAATTTTACATTATATAAAAAACAAATTATATTAAATAAATATAAATCTATTTATATCTAATATTAATATGTGTATAATTTATCAATTTTAAACAAATATATTTTATATGTTTATAAATGCATGTTAATTTATAAATATATACAATATTAATAAATTTAATGAATTTTATGAAAATAAAAGTATATTTAAAAAATGTTCACATCTTATCCTTTGTCAAGTAAATCTGAAACTGACCATTAGACATTCACTGCTTAAAAGAATTTAAAATATCTTTAAATTGCAGTAGTACAAATTTTTAAAGCATGAATTAATTTATGAAATGCTCGGAGTAGAGGAACTTAAAATTTTAAGTCATATAATGATATGCTCCAGGTATGAATACAGTGTAGTAGTAGTTTTAATACTTTGAAAATGATTGTCATGGTCTTCAAGGGGTTCTTTAGTAGTGTATTCTTCAGTGGGTTTTTCAGTAAGGTTTTCAGTGGTTTTTGTAGTAGATGTTTCAGTGTGGGCTTGAGCTAGGAAAAGAGATAAAAATGAGTTATCCACATATAAAAAGTAAAGGCTAAACTTCTGTGATTAGGCATACTTTTTCTTTTCTTATTGCGGTTTGGGTGAAAGTTTACAGGCAAATTGGTTTTCCATTCAACAATTCATATATATTTTATTCTGTGACATTGATTGCAATCCCCACAGTAACAGTACTATGTGTTTACTGTTTCCATTCCTCATTTTTCCCCAACCCTTCCTGCCTTCTGAGCTTTAAACCTGAGCAAATGCTGCCATTTAGATTTTGTATGGTTGATTGTTCTAAGGAGTGTGTACCTTCCTGGTGTTATTGTCCACCTTATAGGTGTGTCTAATGCACTGCCGTCAAGTTGGATCTGACTCATAGTGACCCCTCCTTGGGTTTCCAAGGTGGCATCACTACAGAAGTAGATTGCCCAACCTTCCTTCCAAGGAGTGGTTGGTGGGTTTGAACCACCAGCCTTCTGATTAGCAGTCAAATGTCTTAGGTACCATGCCACCAGAGCTACCTAGGTCTGTCTATCATTTGATTAAAAGTTGAAATACAGGGATGAGTTCAGTTCTAAGCCTGAAGTGTGTCTAAATTATAGTCTTGGGGGTTATACCAGTCTCTATTAGACTGGTAAACCTGGTGTTTTTTATGATTTTGAGTTTCAATTCACATTTTTCTCCACTCTATCCAGGACCTACTATTGCAATCCCTTTCAGAGCAGTCAGCAGTGGTAGATGGGCACTGTCTAGTTCCTGTGGTCTCAGGTTGTGGAGGCCAGGATTCAGGTGATCCACTTAGTCCTTTGGACCAACTGTTTCCTTGAATCTTTGATTTTCTTCAGTCTTCTTTGGTCCAAACAAGGAGAAACCAATAATTGCATCCTAGATGGCTGCTCACAAGATTTTGTAATCCCATTTGCTACTCACCAAAGTAGGATATAGAACATTGTCTTTGTGAACTATGTTCTATCAATTGACCTTGACATCTTCCAAGACTATGGTCCTGAGTGCCCAGACCCACTGACTCATTCCTTTAAGATGTTTGGTTATGCCTAAGAAATCTGCAGAACTTTTCCCTCTGTATACTCTACTATATTCATGGATATGTTGTTGTTGTTATGTGCCATCAAGTCAGACCTGAGTCATAGCGACCCCTCCTTGGGTTTCCGAGGTGGTATCATTATGGAAGTAGATTGCCCAACCTTCCTTCCGAGGAGTGGCTGGTGGGTTTGAACCGCCAGCCTTCTGGGTAGCAGCCAAGTGCCTTAGGCACTATGCTACAGCATATGTAAATATGTATGTAGAAATATCCTCTGTCAAACTGATGCATATTTGTGGGTGTCGTCTCATTTGCCTTCCCTTTCCTGTTCAGTTTGTGTGTCTCTCTGTGTATTCACTCATAGGTTATTGTTATTACTGTTATTGAAGGATTGAGTGTATAATTACAAAGAATTTACCTTGTTGCCTTTAACTTTTGTGCTCCTCCCAGTGTCTACCTTTCCCTTAGTCATTTTGTGCTGACCTCCCCCTTGGTGTATATTGCCTTTCCTTTACCCAAATTAATGCATTTCTACTCTCTAGTTAGTGAATTATCTTCTCTTCCCTTTCCACCCCTGCTAACCCTCAAAGAATGTTTCTCTCTGTGTGTAAACCTTTTCTGGCCTTGTTAGAGTAGTGGTCTCACATAGTTTTTGTCCTTTTGTGATCTACTAATGTCACTCAGCATAATACCCTCTAGGTTCATCCATGTTATGAGGTATTTCACAGATTCATCATTATTCTTTAACATTCTGTAGTATTCCATTGTGTGTATGTACCACAGTTTGTTTATCCACTTATCCATTGATGGACACTTAAGTTGTTTCCATCTTTTTGGTATTGTGAATAATGTTATTGTGAACATGGCTGTACATATATCTGTTATGTTGCAGCTCTTGTTTCTCTAGGGTATATCCCTAGTAGTGGGATTGCCAGATCACATTACTTCTATTTCCAGTTTTTTAAGCAAGTGGGTTAGGCTTACTTTTAAGCTAAAAATGAGACAAAGAAAAAGAGAGAGGGAAATAAAAGGAAAGATAGAAATTTTCCTGAGACAACTTACAAGAGGGGAAAGAGGAAGGCATGTGAAGCTTTTGTGATAATGTCTTTCCTGAGGTGGGATTAATATGCCTACAATTTGTGAACAGAGGACAAGCAAGGAGAAGGATGCCACAAGCTTTCCTTAGAGATTAGGAAGATCTATTGGATGAGATACGTCGGCTTCAGGTGTTCCCTGCACAGTAATACTATCATTCCAGGACAGCGTGGTTGCTGCTCAGCATAATGACATGAAAGAGAGAAATGGCATGAGTGTGCTAATAGGAAACAAACTCTGCTATGCCCCCTTACACTCAGCTTTGGAGAAAAGTATCTGTATCACTTCACTTCACCTTTGTCCTCAGACTTTTAGGGACTATACTTATGCAATCTGTAGGCATAATTATTTCAGAGATCTCTGTTTCCTCAAGTGACTTGCTCCTCTAGATACTTATCCCAATCCAACTTGACCTGAATTATAGGAATAGAAGTCAGAGTTGTGTAGTCCTCAGCCCATTGCCTAAGTAAGTTTATATTACCTGGTCTACTTCAGAGCCGGCTTTCTGTCTTATCTAAAAGAACTGAAGACGTTTGCTGTGTACAAACAAGACTCCCATGGGTAATTTATCTAATTAATGTATGTCCCTGTAATATCCCTATCTCATCTAAATCCAAAAATTTGAAATTGCTCAAAATATTGCATGTGTTGCCAAATAACTTTATTAATAATTAGGCATCACTGACTTTGTTTTTTTCTCAATGTTGAAACCGTCATAACCAGAAACATTCTATTCTCCCTGTCTATTTACTCTCCTTCTCTTCCTCTCTTTCTTTTTTTCTTGTTTTATCTTTGGGTGTTTCATAGATAGTGAGTTGTTGACACTACAAGGTGAAAGCTGTGTTCATGTACATGGACTGTGGAAAATTTGACATGCTGACAAAGTTTTATCTGTCAAATAGTTATGCTTGATGGAAAGATGTGAAAGAAAATAAGAACACTTAAAATTGAAAGTAAAAAGCAGAAAGGAGTAAAGTAGTGGATCTAAGACAGGCCAACAATTTTCTAACCAAAAACCAAACCAAACTCACTGCCATTGAGTCAGATACAACTCATAGAGACCCCTCCTTGGGTTTCCAATCTACAGAAACAGATTGCCCAACCTTCCTTCTGAGGAGAGGCTGGTGGGTTTGAACCACCACCAGTCTTCTGGTTAGCAGTCAAATGCCTTAGGCACTACATCACCAGAATCCTAAATTTAGTTACTAATTTGTCTTCCTACACAAACCAAAAATATGAGGTTAGAAAATGTAAGAACCTCCCTGTCAGTGCAATGGACATGGAGATTCAAGAGTGTTGGTATTAGAGGAAGTGGGATAAAGGGAAAGCCTAGGGGAAGACTCAAGTTCGGTTGGATCTCAGGGTAATAGAATCTACCTTATAAGGGTGTGTTAGACTGTGTTCTCTAGAGAAACAAAACCAGTAAAGCATACATATAGAGAGAAAGAGAAATTTATCTTAGGAAAATGGCTTGCACACTTATAGAAGCTGGAAAGTCCCAAGTTCTTGGACCAAATGTCAAGCTGGAGGCTTTTTTCCAACTCTTGCAGCCGCAGGGTCTGAGGAACTCAAGTACACCGGCTGTTGACTCCAACAAATGACAAATCCAAGATCTCCAGTCTGAATGGTGGACTGTTCACTCATGGACAGTTGTAAACAGCACAACAGAATCCCGATCCACAGAAGAATGTCTCTTTTCCCAGGATGTCCATAAATATACTGGAAGCAGCCCACACCCCTAAGGAAACTCCCTTTTAATGGATCGGCTGCTCAAAACATGTATATCTGATCCCATTGTTGGAACAACCCACATCACAACTGCTTAAACCACACAAAATTGTGGTCCAGCCAAGTTGACACAAAGCTCCAGATATCACACAGGGGAAATTTAGTCTTGTTTAGGGACTAAGATTTCCTGATTTAGGCCCCCTATGATCACTTTCCTATCCAACACTCTCTAGTACTATTTAGAAATCCTGCTTTAAGGCCTTTTCACACACGAAACAGTGACTTCCAGTACTTACAGTTTCTTAGAATAAAATTCACGTCAGTTGTTGCTCTCAATGATATTTCAGGCCCAGTGCCATTTACACCTTGTGTCGTGAATGTATCTAAACATATAAAATCAAAAGTTAGCGAAGTCACTTTTTGTTCATTTACATTTTTCCTCATTGATTTTTTTTTTTTTTTTTTAACATACCCACTGCCATCGAGTCAGGTCTGACTCATATAGACCCCTCCTTGGGTTTATGAGGTGTTATCACTACAGAAGTAGATTGCCCAACCAAGACAGAAAATAAAATTATCTGAGGCATTCTTCACTAGGCAAGGGTCAACTAAAATTAATAAGGAAAGAATACAAACTACTATCCTTGTGATAAATGACACTGAGAAGCCATTATTGAGGAGATTCATGGGAAAACTTATATAATTGCTAACAGATGCCTGCACGGATTTGTAGATGTGAATATTATTACAAAAGGTACTTATATTATCAAAAACCAAATGCCTTAACCACAAGATCTCCACATACATACACACATATGGGTGTGTGTGTGTGTGTGTGTGTGTATAATGTAATTCATATTAAAGGCTAGAAGTATACTTGCAAATAATTTTTTATAGTCATTACCACGGGGAGAAGGGGAGAAAGAACAGTGGGAAAGATAAAGGACTTTCACGTTGTCCTCCTTATGTTTATGTTTTGCTTGGACCCTTTAACATGGGAATGCATCCATGTGTTACATTAAAAAAACAATACACACAGGAAATCAAATGGACAATATCATCAATATTGCTCTTTATAATATTAAATTGAATTATACTGTTCAAACAGATGAGGTTATTCTGCTATAAGTGATGCTAGCACAGAATTAAAAAAACAAAAGCAAAAGTAAGGAGAAAGACATGACAGCAAGATGATAAACTCAGGGAAGGACACCTCTGTCTTGATTATGGTATGATGTCTAATTAAGAATAATTTTCTGTGTAAATCAAGTAATTATCAGGCTCTAATTTATTTATTCTCTGTTTAATTCAAAATAGAGGTATATCCTGAAAAGTATGTAATTTTTATTGTGCTGTTTTGCACACAGGAGAGGCAGCCTGGAGTGGATAGATTAGACACCACTCATGATTCTGCTTCTTGGTGACTATGAA